AAATGTATTTTCAGAACTAATTTTTATATTTTGGTATGTTTCAATTTTGTTGAGTATTTTGATTCGGAAAAATTCAGTTATAAGGTAAGAAGTAAATTATTTAATTTTGAAATAATTAAATAAGTGCATACTTGTATAATAATTTAAATAAAATAATTGAAAAATTAAATAAATAATTTTATGATTTTTTAAATTACAATATCTGTTACAACTGCTAAATATAAACATCTAGTAACTTAAGTGAGTAGTAACATAAATATAAATAAAATAGAGTACATAATAAAGAATAGTAATTTTTTTTTGAAGATAAAGGAGGAAGATTTTAGTTCAGAATATTAGAAATCATTTCTTACATATTTATAACTAAATATTTTTTATTCAATTAAAATCAATAAATGATTGAAGATATGTATTGAAAATATTGCAATTGCAAATTTTAGCTGATCTAATAACATACAACTAAATCTAAATATTTTTTCTTTAACCTTCTGAGTATATTTTAAAAATATACTCAGAGTATATTTTAAAATTATATATATATATATATTCTGAGTATATTTTAAAATTTTTAAATAAACTAAAATCATAAAAATCAATTTGACATATACTATAAATAATTATTTTTATTTATTACTTTCCACAATTATTATTTTTTATTTATTAAGAAACTGTATTATAATATTTATCACAAATATTATTAAGGATAATTTGGGTTCAATTTTCATTTTGTATCTCGTAAATTCAGTTGTATATTATTAATATGTTGTAACTGCAAGTTTTTTTTAACATAATAAATTATATTAAAATTTAATTATGCATAGTTACAAATTAATCTAGCACTTTTATTCTCACTGTTAATATATTTCATAACAGAGATTAACGAAGTGCAAAATGAATATTAGTTATTTTAAGAAAAAATATTAAGCACTCTAATGTTTCTAAAAAAAAATTGACCTTCCCTCAGGTAATAAAAGGACAAATAATAATATAAAAAAATATGAACTAAATATTAAATTTCTTTGATAAAAATTAACAACAAAAATATTATAAAGTAAAACAAGTTATACAAAATTCAAAATGTTCAAAGATAACAACAATGGAAATGTATAGAAAATATAAAAATTGAATATATATATATATATATATATATATATATATATATATATATATATATAGAAAATTTACCACAAAAATTAATTGGAGGAAGTACTATAAAAGTACGATGTACTAAAAAAGCGATCATGTTTGTACAAATAAGTAATTATTTTGAAATTAAATTAAATGTAATTAGGAAATAAAAGCATTTAAATCATGACTGATATATAATTTATATAAAAATGATGTCCTCTTATATAAGAAAAATAAATACTTTTTGCAAAAAAATTTCAGATTTGTCACAAACTTAGAAAAATTTTCTTGGAAATAAACTCAGATGCATTTATAATTTTTTAGTTATCAAGGGGTAGAAAATATTTTTTAAATTTTTATTACTCAAATGACTATTACAAAATAAGGGGTTACTATGACAATATTGTGGTAAGAAGGTGAAGAACTAGGGCTGTATGTATTTTTCAATTCCGCATTAAATGAAATTAAAATACAAAAATGTGTGTGTGTGTGTTAATTAATATATTTAGATTATAAAAAATAAATCATTTCCAACTTACTTTGAAAAACTATGAGATTTGACTTCAGAAGCGTCTGCTTTGCCCCCACCAAGTCTTTTGCGTGGATCTTTGACAAGCAAACGACTTATAAAATCTCGAACATCTTTTCCCAAATCATCAGGAATTGGTGGCGAGGTTTTCAAAATCCTAAAAAATAATAAAAATGAAACTTCTTATATTTATCTACATTTGGTAAATCAACTTAATAATAGAACATGTCACACTGATGATGAGACATATCAAAGTCTATCATTTAAAACAAAGTGTTGCTGTATGTTCATATTCATATATTTAATGAACAGTATGTTTGTTTTTTTATTTGATTTGCAATCAGAACTATTCTTATAACTATGAGCTGTTGTGATGCAATTTCTTGTAATCTATCATTAGTACCAGGCAACCCAATGGTTGTCCAGGAGGCTCTTTTTTATAACATTATCAATGTTAGATATATCTAATAGTAAAAGCTGTATTCATTTAAAAACATAATTAAACCCATATTTTTAATCTAATAACACTTCAATACTGCTTGATATCAAACTGTATGATAAGGGAATATAATCTATGATTGCAAGACCAAAGCTCTTACCAAGAAGATACAGATAAGCTCAAATGGTATATAAAGTTTAAAAAATTTATTTAACATACTTTGATCTAAATTATCAATCTGATATCACTGATGCTTGATATCAAGCTGTAAGAGAATAGAATGGCTATGGTTGCAAGACCAAAGCTCTTACCAAGAAGCTACAGATAAGCTCAAATGGTATATAAAGTTTAAAAAAATTATTTGACATACTTAATCTATATTATCAATCTGATATCGTTGATGCTTGATATCAAGCTGTAAGGAAATAGATTGGTTATGGTTGCAAGACCAAAGCTCTTGCCACCATGCCAGATAAGCTCAAATAGTATAGAAAGTTTATAAAATTTATTTAAAATCAGGCTTATATCTATATTATCAATCTGATATCACTGATGCTTGATATCAAGCTGTAAGGGAATAGAATGGTTATGATTGCAAGACCAAAGCTCTTATTAATAAGCTACAGATAAGCTCAAATGGTATATAAAGTATAAATATTTTATTTAAAACCAGGCTTATATCTATATTATCAAACTCATGTCAATACTGCTTGATATCAAGCTGTATGATAAGGGAATATAATCAATGATTGCAAGACCAAAGCCTTTACTAAGAAGCTACAGATAAGCTCAAATAGTATATAAAGTTTAAAAAATTTTTTTGAAATCAGACTTATATCTATATTATCAAACTGATGCCAATACTGCTTGATATCAAGCTGCCCGAGACGGAAAGAGGACTTGGAATCTGTGTTTGCAAGACTAAAGTTTTTACCAAGAAGCTACAGACAAGTCCATATTATTATTTTTTTATTTTTTTACCTTTTTGAAATATCATGTTGAGTATTCTTTTCTCCTTCAACAGTAAACGGCGATGCTCCTGTTAACAATTCGTAGGTTAGAACTCCAACTGACCACCAATCAACAGCCTAAAATAAAAGTTATAAAATATATAATATAAAAATATAATAATTCAAATTAATCATTTAGTTTACTGAAGATGAATCTTTGATCATTCCAATTAATATGGAGTTCTAGTAAATTTTTTTATAAATATTGTTACTTACCACATCGTGCCCTTGTGGGCCCCCTCTCACAACTTCTGGAGCCATATATTCGATTGTCCCACAAAAACTGAAGGCCCTTTTATCATTTTCATCAGGAAGAAATTCTTTGGACAGACCAAAATCTGTTAAGACGATGTGGCCGTCTTGGTCGAGTAAAATATTTTCGAGTTTTATGTCTCGATAGATTATTCCTAACTGAAAATCAGAAAAATAGATAAAATTAAATTTATATCATTATAAGTAATACATACTGATAATACATTATTATATTGTTTGTTGATATAAGGCATTAAAATGTGGATCAAATAAATATAAGCAAATTGAAGTACATTATGTTAAAATATCATACATTATATTAAAAATCAAATTGCATATATAAAATCTTGTGATTTATAATCTACGAATAATACTTGCAATTATATAAATTACATAAAAATCTCTTTAAAATAAAAATGTAACTGGTACATCTACATCTTTAGAGTGATATGTTAAAAACGTCTTTTGTATGAATTATATTATTTTGCATATTAAAAATGACTTTTTTGTACCAATTATATCGCCTTTTGTATTGAAAATTTATTATTATTTTTTAGTAATGAAGCAAAAAAAGCTTTTAATTATTAAAATAAATAATTTATTGTTATTTTTACCTTATGTAATTGTTCTAATGCCAATACTACTTCTCCTATATATATTCTCACTTCTGATTCTGTGAAATGTTCTCTTTGATATAAATGCGTAAACAGCTCACCACCGTTAACATAGTCTGAAATAAATTATAATTTATTAAAATTACATATATAAAATACATTTTTAAAGCATACCAGAAACGAAAAAAAATCTATTACTTTTGAAACATTATTATATGTAATTATAATAATTTGACAATCTTTGAAGATTTTTTCAATCTTTTTTTTCATGGATCTTTTGGTTGCTAAGTCTTATATATTTACAAAATTTCATTTACTAAGAAATTTTGTGAAGCAAGTTTTTAAATTTGCAATAGATTACAATTCAAAAATGACCAAAATTTTATAAAGACTATTTTGTTATTTTAATGTTTTAATTTATTTCTTACCTAAAATTAAATGTAATTTGGCGTCCGTTTGGAAGGCGTAATGCATCCCGACTAGAAATGGACAACTCCTAATAGCTTCTAATACCTGTGAATAAAAAAAATAAATATAAATAAATATTATGTAACCATCATCTAATAAAATAAGCTTTTTGCAATTAAGAAAAAAATAATGTCAATGAATTTTGTAGAAATTTTTGGTCCAATTCTGATTGCTCAAATAATTTTGAATACATTATTACAAGTAGTATTTAATATCCTGAAAAAAAAACGTACAAAAACCAAGTATAGTCTGAAAAGCATTGCTAAAAAAGATTGATTTGCTTCTTTAATAAATATCAATATTAAAAATTTGTTAAATTAAATTTTTCGAGATATGATCAGCTTCAAAAGCAAATCATATTACTCTCCTATTAATATTTAAATACCAAAATTTTGTAGAAGTGAACAACATTTTTTGGTGAATATTTTTCTCAATTTGTGTAATTTAAGAGAATTGATTTATTATGGTTAAGATGTACTTTCTCCAAATCGACTTTGGTTTAGTATGAATTATTATTAAAAACTATAAATCTAACATGACGATTTTATGGATACTAAAAGCTGTTGTTATACTACATCAATTCTTCATTCATATTAAAAGATTAACATCAAAGAAACTGGTGAAAGGTTTATCAACTAGGAAAACGTTTAAGCAAATCTAACAATCAGCATTATTTATGTTGGAAGTAGATGATTTATCGATAAATAATAATAAACCGTTCACTATATTTGTTACAATAAACTAACCAATCTCTTTTGGTATAATATAATATTTAATCTTCAATACGAATTATACTTTTTTTATTTTATATTATAATGAATAGTTTATTTTGAAAGTGGTTTAAGCCCACTTTGAAAAAAATGCTTTCTTATTATGCAATTCGTGCTTAATTTAATATATAGTTTTTATGTAAAAATAGTTCATGTTTATTTTCATGTCTTATATAATATAAAGTCGGAAGTAAATGATAAAGTCCATACAGATTTTGATATCAAGTAGTAACACGAGCAAAGATTTTTTATAGACAACCCAGAATTATTATGATGCAATAATATAACGTATAAAACCTGAAAAAATATTGTTCTATTAAATGAAACGATAGAATTTCATTTCAAAAAAATTATGATTACATGTTACAGTTAATTTCCTATGTAGCTCCATAAAAAACCATAGCCATAAGCTAAAGTGTGAGTAAAACCTAACCATTTCTTGTAATTTTGACCATGTAATTAGCGTCTAAACTTATATTTGATCTCTTGTTAATTTTTCAAAATTAATTCTGACCTATTTCTACAGTTGTCTAATTTTGTAAGCAGTAAAATGTTTTTTGAATTATTAAAATCGGACGCTCCGTTCTCTTAAAAATTGAGTTACCGTCTTTGGCACTTTTTGCCCGTATATTCGGAACGGCTGGTCCCGCCTTCGCCAAAAACTAATCAGCACGTCTCATTATTAATATGAATCAAATGTTTTTTAATTATTCAAATAAGTTATTTCATACTGTCGAGGACATTTGTTTAAACCATATACGTGAATTTTAAAATTAAAAATCTTGGTACAAAACCCAAAAAAATTACAAAAAATGGGTACACATTATTAAAATCTCTATAAAATATCTGAATTTAATATGCATATGTCTAATGATCATTTTTGACTGCCAAAAGGCATTTTTTTAAACTTATTTTTATTGAGAGTCCATAACAGCTAGACCTTCCTTCCCAAAAATTTAATCAGTTCTTCATCTTGTCAATACAAATAAAATGTTTTTAGAATTATTAAAATCTGACGCTCCGTTCTCTTAAAAACTGAGTTACCGTTTTCAGCACTTTTTGCCCCGTATCTACGAAACGGCTAGACCTGCCTATGCCAAAAACTAATTAGCACGTCTCCTTATCTACAGCAATCGAATGCTTTTTGAATAATAGAAATCGGTTGAACCGTGTTCCCGAAATCGTCGACGAAAAGTGTATCCGCACACACACACATACATCCATATATTCTAAGGTATGCCAAAATGTTCAGAAACCTCTGAAACGTAAATTTATATAAAAATTTTCATTTTCGATTTTTTTGCAATTACTTTAACTTACTCTACGGGAAGTTAATTAACAATACATCTTATAGAACAATTAAATATTGTATACCTAAAAATTATATTAAAGTCTCGTAAATTAAATAACAGTGCTCACAACCGAAACAAACAACAAAAGAAACTACTTTGGTCATGGATTTTAAAACTTTAACGTTTAACTCCCGAAAACCAAAGTGATGGTTGGTTATACATCTATTTCCCTCTACTTTCAAATATTGTTTAAATATTCCTGACTTATTTTTGAGATATCTATGGTGGACTTTTCCACCCATGGGCCTTCAAGCTCCGCTCTACCCTTTTCAAATTAAATATCAAATAAACGCTAGAAACTTTGCCATACTTCATATATTTCACTTAAGTTTTAAACCAGATATAACAGATCTAACAGGATACATCACTTTCAAATTGAAAACCATAAAAAAACCTTATGGATGATATTATGGATATTAAACTTTGTTATAGTTGGTACCACATCAATTATTACCAAGCAACTGGTGAAAGGTTCTGCACCACTTAATCTACTTTTAGACAAAATCTGACAATATGCAATATTTATATTCCAAATCGTTGATTTATCGTTAAATAACAATACAATAATCCCTTCACCACTATCTAGTATCTACTTATTTTGGTTAGAATAAAAATAATAAACTGACCTGTCTCTCTGTCCTCGTGTGCTCCGCCGTCTTTTTCTTCTGCACGATGGTCGCTTTCTTCAGCACTTTCATCGCGTACAACTTGCTGTTGTCAAGGCCGCCGCGCTTGCGGACCAGAAACACTTTGCCGTAGGCTAAAAGCGAGGAGAAAGAAATATTATCAAGATTATTGCTACGATGATTATTATAATTACCTAATATTATGTATTATAGGTATTTATATGCATTTAGCAGCAAGTGGTTATTAACTAAGGTGATAATACGTCCCGGTTTGATCGAGACAGTCCTGGATTTTCACTTTGTGTCCCAGGTTTTTTGAAAGCAATATTTGTCCCGGATTTAGATGTTCTGTTCCGGATTGTCCCGGGTTTCCAAAAGGTATAGGTGTGAATTGAATATTGAAGTAAAACTTCTTTAGGCGCGACTAGGGTGTAAATCCGTACAAATGCAAACAACATGATTATTGTAATTATCTAATATTATGTATTATAGGTGTTTATGTGCAATTAGCAGCAAGTGGTTATTAACTAAGGTGACAATACGTCCCGGTTTGGCCGAAGCAGTTCTGGATTTTCACTTTGTGTCCCAAGTTTTTTTGAAAGCAATATTTGTCCCGGACTTAGATGTCCTGTCCCGGGTTGTCCCGGATTGTCCCGGGTTACCAAAAGGTATAGGTATAAATTGAATATTGAAGTAAAACTTCTTTAAGCGCGACTAGGGTGTAAATCCGTACAAATGCAAACAAGGAGAAAGAAACATAATCAAGATTATTGCTGCGATGATTACTAATATCATAATTATCTAATATTATGTATTATGGGCATTTATTTGTATTTAGCAGCAAGTGGTCATTAACAGTTTGAAAATATACACTACTGCTTATTGGATAAATGATTTGTTTGAATGAAATTAATGTAAAATAAAATTGGCATGTGAAAGACATTTGTGAAATTTATGTTCTCTACGCTTATTTTTATAAATACTTATTCCCTTAAGAATCATATAATATATTCTTTACTGTATAAACACCGAGTTTAATCGAGATAATCAATATGATACAAGATATACACATATACAGTTTTATCAATTATGATTTACACAACTATGATCCTATTTAGTGTCAAAATATTTGAAATAAAAATCAGGAAAATACAAGTTAAGTGAACCATTTTTTCTAAAGTAGATTTTTTTAATAATATGTTATATAAAAACAGTTTAATAGCATGTACTGCTTCATTATTTAAAAAATGAATAAATAGTTTGTTTTGTTTCATTCATTATTATGCTCTAAAACGTCTCAAAAATTTGTAAATTTTGCGACTGTGTTATAAATGTCTAAAAATGTTGCAAATCGTTTCAAAATGTTGTTGGTTTCCCGAACAAATTACTCGTTATGAAATGTTGCGAATCGTCTCTACATGTTGTAAATAGTTTCAAAATATTGTGTATTATATCAAAATGTAGTAGATTGTCTTCAAATGTTGTAAACCGTCTCAATAAATTGTGAGAATGTTGCAAATAGATTCAAAATGTTGTATATTGTCTCAAAGTGTTGTAAATCGTCTCTACATGTTGTGAATCGTCTCTACATGTTGTGAATCGTCTTTACATGTTGTGAATATATTCGAAATATTATAGATTTTATATCTAAATATTGTAAATCGTCTAAAAATGTTGTGTGACGTCTGAGAATGTTTTAAGTCTTCTCAAAAAAATTGTAAATCTGTAAATAATGTCAAAATGTTGTAGATTGTCTCAAAGTGTTGTAGATTATATCAAAATCTTGTAAATTGTCTCCAAATGTTGTAAATCGTCTCAAAACGTTAGAGTGTCTAAAAACACTGTACATGGTCTCAAAATGTTGTAGATTCATATTCATCCAAAACGATCTAAATCGTCTGAAAATGATCTAAATCGTCTCAAAATAATGTAAATCGTCCAAAATGTTTTAAATTGTCCAATATTGTTGTAAATAGTCATAAAGTATTGTAAAACGTCTCAAACTGTTGTAAATTGTCTCAAAATGTTGAAGATTGATTCAAAATTTTGTAGGTTACCCGAAAATGTTTATTCATTTATTCATTCATTATTTATTTGCTTCAAGAATAACATAACTTTATTTCGAACAATTTACTTGTGTTCAATTGTTGAAGACACATTCTTGAGAAGTTTACTTAAATTACCGAAATAATTAATTATAAAATTCTTTAGGATTTGGTCAATTATCCCAAAACCCTTTGGCGTAATTGCCTTTTTTACTCAAAGTGACTTTTAGTCATTGTCATCAATTTATTATAAAATTGTTTCTTTACCATGTTTTCTAAAAAACAAAAAGAATTTTGTCAATTGTCAAAATTCAAAGAGAGCAAATTTACATTTGTTCCATTTAGAAGAAAGAAATTCCAATTATAAATGGTCCTTAAGAGCTCTTAATTTCACCAAATCACAGTCTTTTATTATTACCCACCTCGTGCATGTAACAAAAGGCCTTGTAACCAATTACAATTCTAGATATTTGACATAAACCCATATACATTTATAGGAATCCATATACATATTTGCATATTCACCAACACAACTTGAATTTATTTACTGTCATGGGCAACTTGGAAGTGTGTCAGGGATGTGTAAAATTTTTATATAAAAATATTTTTATATCGTTATTTTTCATGAAAGTTAATTCTGGATATGATGATATGATGATATCGTCTAAGAATTTCACACGCAATGTAATTTTTTTGGGTAATTGCTTTGTTTGAGGTCGTGCCAGATTGAATTGTTTGGAGGTAGAAGTTCTATATTGAATGTTTCCTCGAATTGTAAATTGTTTTCCTTGAAAAGGGTATATTTTAATAATTTTTAGCACGATCCAACTACTTATATCGCTAACTTGACTGGGGGCTAAGTGACCACCAGGTCAAAGGCCTAAATAAATAATATTTTGGCCAAAATAATTAGTATTTTGGATCCTAACGAATATAGATAAAGATGTTAAAAAATGCTGTAATAATTAGGATTTATATATCAAGTTTGATGAAACTATTTTGGGTACTCGGATCCATCATGCCGCATCTTTGCTGTGAAAATGTATCAGTTTATTTGCTAAAAAAAATAAATGAATGATGGCATTCTTTATAATTTATCTATACTTCTTCATTTGAAAATAATTTAAACAAATAATTCAAAAATTCAGAGTTTTTTAAAGAGTAAAACTTACAATATTTTGTGACAATTTACAATAATTTTATACGATTTTCAACATTTTGAGACAATTTTTAATTAAGAGACAATTTACAATATTTGGAGATTCTTCTTGTCAAAAGATTAAGTTAAACAGTGGAAAAATAATAAATTAAAAATAAGTATTTTTAACATCCCTTAGGGTAAGTTGGACATGTGCACATTAAATTATCAGATATTTTATAAAAATTTTAATAGTGAGTACAATAATTGCTTCCATTTTTAGGGGTTCCGTATTGTTGCAAGCTGTTTTGCACTTAATTGAAAGATTATATTTGAAATCTATAACTTCCAGTGGAATTTTCAATATCATGCTGCTTGATATCGAGCTGGCTTTGGGTTTTGGTCAAACCTGGAACTAGTTTGTATCAGCCTACGTTCTTAACCATTACACCACGACGATAGAGTTAGTTTATATTTGGAAGTTCCAGATATTTAATATATTGAGACATTTTGTACAGAACATTTGCAACATGTTGAGACTATTTCTAACATTTGCAGTTAATCTACAAACGTTTTGAGATAATTTACAACACTTTGAAACGATCTACAACATTGATTTTTTTGAAACAGTCTACCATATTTTTGGACTATTTACAACATAGAACATTTTGAAACTATCTACAACATTTTGGCCACCACTTTTCCATAAAATTTATAATATTTTGAGATGGTTTACTACAACATTTTGAGACGATTTAAAACATTTTGCGATTATCTACAACACTTTGAGACAATCTATAACATTTTGAGACAATTTACAACATTTAGTTGACTACATCTTCAGACAATTTACAACATTCTCAGAAGATTTACAGTATTTTGAAACATTTTTTTTACATTTTGAGGCAACATGAAATTAAATTTAAAGGGCAACCCAGTAGTCAACCAATCTTCTTTATTGATTATATATATTAGATATGTATATCTGATAGTGTTGCATATCTATGTTGCAGCAATATCCACGAAAGGTGATTTGCACTTGACATTCTCAATATCAATACTGCTTGATATCGAACCTGGAACTAGTTGGTGCACGACGAATTTGTACTCTACTTATTTAATATTATAGAACACTTACTGCAACATTGTTGTCTATCATTACAACAACAATTAAACTTTTTGCATATATGCATTAACTTTTATAATATTATATTCCAAGAATTGGCTCAAATATTATCACCAATTCTGTGGACAAACAAATAAATTCGTATATCGTACAAGGTTTATTATCAATGCATTCATTCGTAATGTTTTTTATGAATTCCTGCCCACGAGTTGTTTGTCAACAATTTTCGTATTAATTCGACATTTCGCAACAAACTCGACAACAAAATCGACTTCCAGAGAAAAGAAACTATGTCAGCCGGTTGCCGCCGATTGACGCCGGTTCGGCCTGGTACGAAAACGAAGCCGGAATGGCAATGATTTTGCAATTACAATTAAATGAGTAGAATATATATCATGATTTTATTTTTGGAAGTATTTTTGGCCCAAAACATAAATACGAAATATCAGTAGGATTTAATCCTATTTACAGACTTTTGGGTTATCAGCGTTTCTAATTCTTTGTCACTAAGTCTAAAATTCTAAAAAGGATATCTTATCACTGGAGAGCACTTCTAATAAGATTTCATTTGGTAGATGTGATAGTTTATTTAATATTTTAGTAATATCAAATGGCATACAGATATTAGACTGATTATATAGGTATATATTATTAGACTGATTGTTTATTTAACATAATAGTGATAACTAGTCATGCATGGCATCGTGCCTTAAGGTAAATTGATAGACTCTAAATTAAAATTTTGAAATTTCTTGAAAATTTTAAATTCCATCCAAGTCAGTTGAACCATACTGCACAAAAGTCGAGAACATTTGTTTGAACTATATAACTGAATTTTAAACATCGTAAATCCTCCTACGGAAAATAACAAATATGCAACACTATTAGATATACATATCTAATATATTTAGTCAAAAAAGAAAATTGGTTGACCAGTGAGTTGCCCTCTTGAGAAAATTACTAGGTTAAGATGTACGATAACAAACCTGTTTCAACCAATACGAAGTTCTGATGGCTGTTGAAAATTTTATAATAAAATACAATTATGTTTCTTTTTTCTTCTAACTTGGCTGAACCATAAAATCGTTAAGAAACTAAAAAACTATAAAAGCGCTTTGTAAAAAAAAACAGCTATCAATTACATATATCAATGTAAATAATAATGTGTATAATTGCATGTATATTTAACAACTAACAATTTTTAAATGATTTTATAGCTAGTGCTGCTTTTGTTAATCTTGCTTTTGATAAATTTTTTAATAAAAAAAGTTGTATGAGACTTATGATGTTTTTGTGTCTATTCCTGAATTTATTACTTTAAATAAAGAATTTCTTCCAAGGTTATTATTATTATCTGTGTGGGTGAGAAACCAAAAGTGTGTTTAATAAAATATTACCTTTATAAAATGCAGATGCATGTTTTCCTCCCCATTTTAAGGAAAATTTTTGTTTTGTTTGACTGATATAGAATGCTGCACAATCTTAGCAGTATATTCTATATATAGCATTATATTTTTCAGGTTAGGTAAAGTTAATTACAATTATCAACTGATGGTGATTCTAATCTTGTGAAAACTTAAATTTAAAACAGAGTGCATAATTCACCAATTTTTTAAATTGATATCGATATAAAGAATTGGGCTACAGAATAAACCAAATGCAACATGTTAAAAAATATTATAGCCCATAGCAGAATTAAAAATTAATCAACTTTCACTGACCGTTTTCAAGAATATAGTTTATTTATATTTTATTTAAATATTTAAGATATTACATATTCAATATCAATATGAATAACAGAACATAATATAATATTAGCAATATCTAAATTTGTCCATTACATATTGATTATAAATTATTCCTTGTCTTCTACACACATGTCAAAATTTAATCAATTTAATCCACATATCAAACTATACATGTACAGATAACAATTAAAATTCAGTATTTCATTGAAATATCATATGTCTGTACCTTTATCAAATGCAAACAACCTTAAAAAATAGCTTTTTGAGACGCAATTATTATTATTAACGTGATATGAAATTCGGCGATCTTGTGACTCGCCACAAAATTAGCTCGACCTTCAGCGTTCCAAAGATTATTTAAACTCGTCTAATTTATGTTTAAATAAAAAAGTACTTATTTGGACAGAGCAGTGGTGTCCAGGTAATAGAAGAGACATGGGTCACATATGTAACAAACTTTGATAATAAGATAAAAATGTATTACAAGTTAAACTCGCCCAATTTATGTCTAAATATGAAAGTACTTATTTGGCCAGAGCAGTGGTGTCCAGGTAATAAAAATACAGGGGTCATAAATATTTGAAAAACACATACATTTGGACAAGCTTTGATAGTCGGATTATCAAAGATGAAAATGTATTACAGAGCAGTGATGTTCAATGATTAAAATAACACGAGTCACATATATGAGAAATTTTGGTTGAAGAAAAGATGTATTATAAATTGAACTAGTCTAAATTATGTCTAACTACATAAATACTTATTTAGAAGTGCAGTGATGGCCAGTGGTGAAAATAACACGGGTCACTTTGCAAATTATTTTGTTTAAAGAAATATATGTATTTTATGCTATTATTTGAAAAGAGCAATGTTGTCCAGTTAGTAAAAATTTATTAATATACTAGATAACCCGACAGACGTTCTAAATTGCACCAACGTCTGCAATTTTTTAATATCCTATACTAATATTTACCGTTTACTTAAAAATAATAATTATTGTTTTTTAAATTACTATTCACACCAAAATGCATATACATCAATATGAGAGATGATAAATCTAGAACTGCTTTAAATAAAATGATGAGTCTCAATTCTCACACTATATTGGAAATTGAAGTCTTTTAAACGGTATAACAAATTCAGAAAAAAATAATATATAGTATCCGTGGTAAAAGTACAATATTACCTTGGATTTTTCCACTCAAAATAATTGCTCCAAAAATGTTGCCTTTAATTTTTGTAATCTCGTATCATATTTTAACTGGTTTTTAGTAATTATAATATCTAAATTACATTTTTCTTAGCAATAATTTAATATACATTATTACCAGGGACGCTCCTGGGGTCCTCAGAGCTCGCATGTCATTTTTTTTCTGGCACCCCCCCCCCCCTGTTATTTTACCTGTTTTAACAGCTTATTATTAAAATTATTATCATTAATTAATATTTGGATTTTGAAACATTTTTGTTGTTTATTTTGGGCATTTTATGCTATTTATTCTATTGATCAAATCATAGAGAGCAAAAAAGTTCTAGCCTTTCCATAACATAACACTGGTACTTCATGTTAGATTATTTTAATTCAATTTTTTATTATTTAAGATATCCAAAATCGAATAATAAACTTCTCTTAATTAATATCGTAAGTATGCATTCATCTTCATTTATTTCCCATTTGTTGTTTCAATATGAAATTTTTAACGTATTTTAAAAATATTCTGCAGATATTAATAAAAGATGCAAAGAAATTATATATTTCTTGAATTTTATTGAAAAAAAAACTATATTGAAAATTTCATATCCAAATCTTGTTTTGGCGCCCCCTAATGCGTGCGTCGCATTCCAGGTAGGACCGGCCCTGATTTTCACTTATTACTAATTTCATATTTTAAGTGAATTAATTAGTCAAATCCTGTTCATATGTGTGTCATTCAATCTGCCATACATATACTGTATCTTATATTATTTTAATTTCTGGCACATCTCAGCTGCTTTCTGGCAATAATAATGTTGACATTTCATTTTTCTTATTCATAATCATGAAATTATGAAATTCTCATATTGTCTAGGCTCATAAGTGAATTGAAATTTTTGGCAGATGACAGTTTTCATTTGTTTTCAATGCCAAACAATGTCTCAAATATTGACATGTAGTTTTTTGCAGTTTTTTCATTTGTTTCTACAATATTACTATATTTTTATAATCACATACATCCTAACAAAATTTCCTTAACAAACTTCAGAAAGATTTATCAAAATCCGAATATTCGTTTAGGAGGAGTATATTTACATACATCATCACAAAAGAATTTTATATATAAGATATTTATGATTATTATGTGAATTTACCTCCAGTTCCCAAAACGCGCAGCATTTCGAAGTGCGACATGTCGACTTTGTCATCTCCGGAAAGATTAACTGTAAAAAAAAATAAATGATATCAGTTAACCTTCCTAAAATATAAATTACACATTAAATACGTAATATGAAATAAAAAATCGATTAATTTATAGGTTTAATTGCCAACTTTTTCTCTGCAGCAATTTCTTCCAGTATGTATCAAAATGACAAATTTTAAATACATTCTAATATCTTTGCTCGAAATTCAGTGAAAGGTTTTCGGAATTCCACCATATAAATCGTTTCTGATTTTGAAAGCTGTCGGCACATATTAGTCCAGAGATCGATAGATCGATAGACAGATCTATCGTGTTTGCTTATGGTTAGATGAATCTATAAATTTGCAAAAATTATGCAACATTTGCACTACTAAATGCAACTTATATGACGCTAATAGATTTGTATGTCAATTAGGTGTCCGAGAGTTGGTTGCGAAATCGAATGGAATGGAAATATTTTAGAATTAAATAAGAAGTCCATCATCAATATCTCAAAACAAGTTAGAAATTTTTAACTTCCCGTAGGGTGAGTTATAGTAATTGCAAAAAAATCGAAAGTGAATATTTTTATATATCTTTACGTTTCAAAGGTTTCTGAACATTTTGGCATACCCTAGAAAAAATGGATGTATGTGTGTGTGTTTATGTGTGTGTGCAGATACAAATTTTCATCAACGATTTCGGGAACACGGATCAACCGATTTAAATAATTCAAAAAACATTCGATTCGTATTGATAAGGAGACGTGTTGACTAGTTTTTGGCAAAAGCAGGTCTAGCCGTTCCAAAGATACGAGACAAAAAGTACCAAAAATGGTAACTCAGTTTTTGAGATAACGGAGCGTCCGATTTGAATGATTCGAATTTGATAAGATGAAAAACTGGTTAAATTTCTGGAAGGGAGGTCTAGCGGTTTCGGAGATCCAGTGAAAAAAGTAACCAAAAATAGCATTTGGCGGTCAAAACGATCTTTAGGCATATGCACATCAAATTATCTGATATTTTATACAAATTTTAATAAGAAGTACAAATTTTGTTTCCATTTCTATGAGTTCCGTAACAATGTTTATACTGAGACAAGGCGCTTGCGTGCTTCTATATTGCATCTCTAAAACAAACTCAGTCGATTGTTCTAAATAAATGTTTAAAATTTTCAAAAAAATTTAAAGTATATAAAAAAATTCAAACAAGTCATTTTTAACTTCTCGTAGAGAAAGTTATAGCAATCGCAAAAAAAAAATTGAAAATTAAAATTTTTATATATCTTTACATTTCAGAGGTTCTTGAATATTTTGGTATATCTTAGAAAAAATGGATGTGTGTGTAATCAGCATTGCAGCACGATTGTTAAAAAAAATGTTCAAGATTTTCAAAAAAATCAATTTACAAAAAATACAAATTCCTCAAAAGTCATTTTTTTCAAAGTTTTTTTTAATAATTTAGTTCTTGATACGAGAATTTGCAGCAATTTTCCCTTAGAAACGATACGATACAAAAAATTCAAAATCTCAAAAATCTAATTTTCTCAAAGTTTTCAAAAAAATTAAAACTTTATTAAGAATTGTAATTTTCAATACGGGAAGTACCAGCAATTTGCCTTGAGGCACGACGCCCTGCACCACTAGTTTGATGGTAAGATACAATTTTTTCTTTAAATTAAAGAACATTATTTTTTACCCAGAATTCAGTCCTTTACAAAACAGGGTATGTAATGTACTTTATTTAGAATCAAACACATTAAGCAGATGTGTTAGACTCTAGGGTCCCCCCTGGTGAGCGTAAAGTTCATGTACCTATTCACAATTTATTACACGCCTTGTAAACTTTGCGGAGGGAGGGGTCTAGACAGATATACCGTATTTATTTTTTACCTAAATTTTCAAAATAAAAACAAAAATTTTGGGGCAGGGGGTGTTATTCTAAATATCAGGAAGTATCACCAAGTTGGGGGAGGTGACCAAAAATCTCTAAAAAATCGATCACATGATCTATAAATAGACGTCTCTTTAGTTAGTTTGGCACAATAAAAATTTGGTTTCACCCACTTGTTCGAATTAATGTGAAGATCGTGACCTTTACCAAAACATAAACGGCCTGAATTAATTGTTTCAAATGATACAATCGAATATTGTTGTTTATATTATTGCAGACAATGGATAGGTAAAAAAAAATTGATTGAATAAATAAAGTTGACCAGGTATAAAATTTGGTAAAAACTTTTCTTGCGACATTTGAATTGGTAAATTTATTTGAATTGGATTGATCAGACATTGCTTGATGATTTTATATATTTTAGGTATAATGATTACTTTTTTTTTACGTTAAGGGTATAATTTTGACCCTAAAATTAATAAATGATCATAACCATCCTTGACTGTTACTAAGTATCTGATTCAAGTATGATCTGCATTGTACAAATAATTTCCTATAATATCCATTAAAATTGCAATATTATTTAAGATTTTAGAGTGTTTAAATTTTTTTAAAACCTAAGGTAGACCCGGACTTAATGTTTCAAGGAAAAAAAGGTCAATGCTATTTCTAAAAGTTGTAACTTTTAGTTAGATTCAAAGTCTCTTTTATAAAATCTCTAAAATAGTTTACGTGTGGTTCGGGTAAAAAAAAACACTTGAACTTTTACGCTAGCAATATAAATAGTACATAAAAAATTTTAAATAAAAAAGTAAGATAAGTTAATAAAGATAGATGAAATAAATAGTTATTAATATTAACTTTAATAATAAATTCTGAGCAAGTTACATGTGGGGTTAGTATGAAGTGTATCATTATAAAATGTGTATTACAAAGAGAAGTTTGATATCCAAATAGCCCCCATCCACGACATTGGTCTTTCGAGCTGTATTATTATATGTGTAATAATTGTATTTCAACAAACAATAAGAAATTAAACACAAATATTTACCAAATCAAGATTTTGTGATAGTAGTTTAAAGATTATGAATATTTTCGTCTATTTTGTTAAACAATATATATTTAGGTCATAGTTTTTAATTTTGTTGTTCAAAATTGATGATTTTTTTTGTTCCCGATTGTCCCGTCTATGAGGTAAAAAGAACCAAGTGAGATATTTTTGAAAATATAGCAAAAAACATATTTTTAGAATGATGAATTAGCTAAAAATTCTAAGAAACATAGTTAGATAATTGTTTGTTTGATATATATTATTTGTTTGGAATAGGACCTATGTGCACTTGATGTATTCTTCACAACTTGTAGGAATATTTATTGGCCATCTTAGACCGAGTAATGAGTATACTCTAGTACCGGATTAAAATAATTAACTGTTTTATTTCCCACATTAATAATGTTAAGTTAAACAACAAATTAAAATGCAAAGTTAAAGTATTGTTATACATATAAAATCACGTGGAAATGAGGTTATTTTATGTAGGCTCTGTTTGTCTTCTTTAATATGCGATTGCGAGCAAGTTCAATACGTCCCAAGTTATACCAAACACTTTCTTCGAGGCTTGGGAAACGAAAGTGTCTGTCTCGACATGGTTTTACTGGTTGAATAATAATATATCCGAAAAATATATTCAAGAAATCGCAGTGAAAACATATTTTGAATAATTTTACATCAACCAGAAAAATTTATTACCATGAAACTTATTCCAAAAGACTGTAGTCTTTTGGTAGAAGATTCAGTAATTAGATTGTAGTTAAAGATAAAAAATGTATTTCTGGTGAACTTGAACAGTTAATCGCAGTGAAAACAAAGTTTTGACAATTTTACATCAATCAGAAAAATTTATTACCATGAAAATTACTCCAAAAGACTGTAGTCTTTTGGTAGATTCAGTAATTAGATTGTAGTTAAAGATAAAAAATGTATTTCTGGTGAATTTGAACACCAACTAATCATAAGTTATATTAACTAATATCATTAGGTAATAAGAATATTAAAAGTGGATTGATGAATTCGGTTAAAATTTCATGTTTGTATAAATGCGTGCTACGCAATTTGAAGGACACAATTATTATGCAATTTCACAATTAAATGCGTTTGCAATTCAATAATTTGTGTTTATTACAAATCAATTTGCAAACTAAAGCAACTAGTTATATAGTTAATGAAAATCGCTGTTATGCATTCAAATAACTGATTGTGAGAGAATTTAGGTCATAATATTTTAATTCATAATCATTTCATTTCAATAACATACTGACTTAAATCATATTATTTATTTTTGTTGTAAAGGTAAATTTTTCTAATGCAAATATATTTTTTTTTCAGAAGCACCTGGAATATTCATAACTCAAACAGGTAGTTTAATTTAAAAAAAACATATTTTTAAAAATCCATGGAATTGCAGATTTCAGTGGAACATTTATCTATCCACAAGAGAAAATAGGTCTTCAAATAGGTTGTAAAACTCAGCACTTACATGAGTTTGAAAATATTTTTAAATGAAGCAATGCACTTAGCTATATGTAATATTTTTTATTTTTACTAGCAGAGATTTTACTTTTATAGGAAAATCTAAACGATTTGGATACGTGAAGCACTAAAAACTTTTCTAAATAACTCTCGAAGCGTCATAGTGTCTAGAACAGTATATTTTTAATATACAGAATTCAAACAAAATCTAGCTTAATCTACAATTTAAATGTTTAAATTAACATTCATTCAAATATATCACCTGGTATTTTATGAGGCAAAATCGAAATTTTTATTGAACCGGATTTCTATCGATATCGAACCGTTAAAGTGTCGAATCGAAACTTGTTATTTTGACATTTTTGATTTGATATAAATGAAAGTACCGTAAAATAGTCACAAATCTAAAATCTTATGCACTGTTGCGTGTTTTTTTTTTTTGAATAAGATTAAAATAAAATCAATGCTAATGTTAACTTCCAGAAAAAATGCCAAATTTACCCACTTTTTTCTAAAAATCCTCGAAAATTTAATGAAAATTTATGCTTGAACATATAACAAACGAGGATCTTCGACGTTAGAAAATGTAATATTATATAAATGTTTAAACTTCATACG